AGATGCTCATTTAAAGTAAATATATATATTTACAACAACAAATACATATATATATATATTTATATATATAAACATGCTATATATATGTTTATATATATAAACATGTTATATAGAAAGTTCCCTAGAGTCAGGAAAGAGAGGGAGCAGGAGAAGTCAGGGACCTCAGGAATAGCAGGAAATCCAGGTAAAAAGGGGCCGGAGGCAAGGCTAAGCTCCAAGTCTCCTAGACCCAGGAAAGAAAGGGAGCAGGAGAGGCCGGGGATCTCCGGAACAGCAGGATATCCAGGTAAAAAAGGGTGCAAGGCAAGGCTAGGCCCCAAGCCCCCTAGAGCCAGGAAAGGGAGGGAGCAGGAAAGGCAGCAGATCTCTGGAGCGGCAGGATATCCAGGTGAAAAGGGGTGGGAAGCAAGGCTAGGCCCCAAGCCCCCTAGAGCTAAGAAAGGGAGGGAGCAGCCAGGGACCACAAAGTAACAGGTTCCAGGTAGGAATTAGGTAAGGGGAGGGCGCAGAAGTTTCCAACTGCTAAGAGAGACAAACTTGTCTGCCAGTTTGTCAACCTTTGGGGCTTGTACATTGCTGTGAGGCTTGAGGCTGTGCCACTGGTATTTCAGACACCATCAGAGTTGCACATGGTACACAGGTTTCAACATACCTTACAGACTAAGACAGACTAGGAAGAAAGAGGAGGCCATTCACTTCTCAAAAATTGACCAGGGAAAATCTTATGAATAGCAGAGAAACACTGTCTGATACATTACTGGGCAACTTTATGAATAACTTGGAAACATTGTCCGACACAGTGAGGAAAGACAAGCCCCTTGGGTCAGAAGGCACTCAAAATAGGACTGGGAAGGAGCTGCCTCATCAGAGTAGAACCAACTTTAATGATATGGATAAAGTAAGTTTTTCAGGACCTCCATGTGCTGACGTGGCATGACTCACATTGAAGAGAAACAGCTACAAACATCTGTTAATAATCAGAACATGGAATGTACAAGGTATGAATCTAGGAAAATTGGAAGTTGTCAAAAATGAAATAGAATGCATAAAGATTGATATCCTAGGCATTAGTGAGCTGAAATGGACCAGTTTTGGCCATTTTGAAGCAGATAACCATATGATCTGCTATGCCAGGAATGACAAATTGAAGAAGAATGGTGGGGCATTCATCATCACAAAGGATATTTCCAGATCTATCCTGAAGTACAATGCTGTCAGTGATAGGATAATATCCATACATGTACAAGGCAGACCCATAATACTACCATTATTCAAATTTATGCACCAACCACCAAAGCCAAAGATGCGGAAATTGAAGATTTTATCAACTTCTGCAGTCTGAAATTGACCAAACATGCAGTCAAGATATACTGATTATCACTGGTGATTGGAATGCAAAAATTGGAAACCAAAAAGAATCACGAGTACTTGGAAAATTTGGCCTTGGTGACAAATAATGCTGGAGATCGCATGATAGAATTTTGCAAGACCAATGACTTATTCATTGCAAATACCTTTTTTTCAAAAACACAAATGGTGGCTATACACATGGACTTCGCCAGATGGAGGACACAGGAATCAGACTGATTACATCTGTGGCGAGAGGAGATGGAAAAGCTCAATATCTTCAGCCAAAACAAGGCCAGGAGCTGATTGTAGAACAGACCATCAATTGCTCATATGCAAGTTCAACTTGAGGTTGAAGACCATTAAAACAAGGCCATGAGAGGCAAAATATGACCCTGAATATATTCTTCCTGAATTTAGAGACTATCTAAAGAATAGATTTGATGTATTGGACATCAATGACCAAAAACCAGAAGAATTGTAGGATGACATTAAGAGCATCAACCATGAAGAAAGCAAGAGGTCATTAAAAATATAAGAAAGAAAGAAAAGACCAAAATGGTTGTCAAATAAGACTCTGAAACTTGCCCTTGAGTGAAGAGTAGCTAAAGCAAATGGAAGAAATGACAAGATAAAAGAGCTAAACAGAAGATTTCAAAGAGCAGCTTGAGCAGATAAAGCCAATTAGTGTAATGAAATGTGCAAATACCTGCAGTTAATAAACCAAAAGGGAAGAACACACTTGGCATTTCTCAAGCTGAAAGAACTGAGGAAAAATTTAAGCTCAAGTTGCAATATTGAAAGATTCTATGGGCAAAATATTGAATGATGCAGGTAACACCAAAAGAAGATAGAAGGAATAGACAGAGTCACTGTATCAAAAAGAACTGGTCAATCAATGTTCATACATTTCAGGATGTGGCATATGTTCAAGAACCAATGGTACTGAAGGAAAAATTCAAAGCTGCACTGAAATAATTGGTGAAGAACAAGCCTCCGGGAATTGACAGAATACCCAGTGAGATGTTTCAATAAATGGATGCCCCGCTGGAGGCACTTACTTGGCTGTGCCAATAGATTTGGAAGACAGCTACCTGGCCAACTGACAGGAAAAGATCCGTATTTGTACTCATTCCAAAGAAAGGTGATCCTACAGAATGTGGAAATTATCGAACAATATCATTAAAATCACATGCAAGTAAAATCTTACTGAAGATAATTCAAAAATGGTTGCAGCAGTATATTGACAGAGAACCTCCAGAAATGTAAGCTGGATTCAGAAGAGGATGTGGAATGAGGGATATCACTGCTGATGTCAGGTGGATCTTGGCTCAAACCAAAGAACACCAGAAAGATGTTTACTTGTGTTTTATTGACTATGCAAAAGCATTTGATTGTGTGAATTATAACAAATTGTGGATAACATTGAGAAGAATGGGAATTCTAGAACACTTAATTTTACTCATGAGGAACCTGTATATAGACCAGGAGGCTTTCATTCGAACAGAACAAAGGGACACTGCATGGTTTAAAATCAAGAAGGGAGTGCATCAGGGTTGTATCCTTTCACCATACTTATTCAACCTATATGCTGAGCACATAATCCAAGAAGCTGGACTACATGAAGAGGAACGTGGCATTAGGATTGAAGGAAGAATCATTAACAACCTGCAATACACTGACAACACAACTTTACTTGCTGAAAGTGAGGATGACTTGAAGTACTTACTGATGAAAATTGAAGAATACAGTCTGCAGTATGGATTGCATCTCTATCTAAAGAAAACAAAAATGCTCACAACTGGTCCTATAAGCAACATTACAGTAAATGGAGAAACGATTGAAATTGTCAAGGACTTCATATTACTTGGTTCTACAATTGATGCCAATGGAAGCAGCAGTCAGGACATCAGACTATGTATAGCACTGGGCAAATCAGCTTCAAAGGACCTCTTTCAAGCGCTGAAAAGGAAAGATGTCTCCTTGAGGACTAAGGTGTGCCTGACACAAGCCATGGTATTTTCAATCGCCTCATATGCATATGAGAGCTGGACAATGAATAAGGAAGACAGAAGAAGAATTGACACTTTTGAGTTGTGGTGTTGGTGAAGAATGCTGAAAGTACCGTGGACTGCTAAAAGAACTAACAGGTCTGTCTTGGAGGAAGTGCAGCCAGAAGGCTCCTTGGAAGTGAGAATGGCCAGACTTCGTTTCACCTACTTTGGTCATGTTGTCAGAAGGGACCATTCCCTGGAGAAGGATGTCATGCTTGGTAGGGTGGAAGGTCGACGAAAGAGGGCAAGGCCCTCAATGAGATGGGTTGACATGGTGGCAGCGTGGATGGGCTCAAGTATAGCAAGAATCATGGAGCTCGCTTAGGACCAGGCTGTGTTTAGTTCTGCTGTGCATAGGGTGGCTATGAGTCGACACCTAACAACAACGGGACCTAACAACAACAGCAAATTATATATATATATCTATATCTATCTATCTATATATATAGATAGATAGATATATAGATATATATATGATGGCTTTGAGTGTGGCTATAATTATACACACAGATAATTGATACAAGCTAGAAAAATGCTGGCTAGGTAGCAATAGGAAAATGGTTTTTACCTAAAGAAGAGTGAATAATGTGGGAGCATCCCCATTATTTGTTCTGGGACTAAACCCTTCTGTAGTTCCTGTTGTTGTTGTTATGTGCCATTGAGTGGGACCAGATTCATAACGGCCCCTCTTTGCATTTGGCAGGAGGTATCACTATGGAAGTAGATTCCCCAACTTTGCTTCCAAGGCGTGGCTGGTGGGGTTTGAACTGCTAGCCTTCTGGTTATCAGTAAAGTACCTTAGGCACTATGGTACCAGAGCTCCCTCTGTAGTCCCTAGTACCTCCCTTTACTTCTCTAGTATCACTCAGAGGGAATAAAGCATTCTTTCAGATTTAGTTCTTTCCAAATCAGTCCGATGGTTTGGCAGGGGAAGTGGAAGAAGCTAAATGAATTTCCCAGGAACTTTCATTTGCAGTCCTTAAGCGGTCATAAGTATCATGCCTGGCCAATTCCCAGTTTCCTGTCAGCATTTCTTCAGAGCTTCCTGACAGAAAGCTTGGCTCGCGTCACCCGCTACTCTCACGGTTTGCTCAGAGTGAAAAGAAGTTAACTCTCCTTGTGAAAGAGCAAACTTCAGCTGGAGGGTGGAAGGCGGGGCAGGCGCCAGGTCTGGCGCTGCCGGGTGAGGTGGCCTGGGGCTGGGACGCTTGGCGACGTGGACCGGAGGAGGGCGGCGGGTGGGAGGCGGGCCGCCGCGGGTCAAGGAAACCCCACGTGGGCGCTGGGGCTTGGTTTCGTCGCTCCTGCCCCTGGCGATCGGAACGCGCTTCCTCTTCCGTCCTCCTGAGCTAAGGGAGGTGAAAGTCCCAGTGCGTCCCGTCCCGGCCCCTGCTGCCCGACGGCTGACCCGCTGTGAGATCCAGGGTTCTCGGAGACTCTGAGTCGTCTGAGCTGGTTTCGGGGCGGGGAGACGCTCCTGAGAGCACCAGCTGAGGCTAGTCTCTGTCAGTTACGCGCCCCGGGGGCGCACGGGCCAGGCGCGGCGACGTGGGAAGGGTGGGGACGGACAAGAGGTGGGGAAAGCTGTCCTGCGGGAAAATGAAGAAGCCAGACGTGAAAATCGTGCTCCTGGGGGATGTGAACGTAGGGAAGACGTCGCTGCTTCACAGGTACATGGAGCGGCGCTTCCAGGACACGGTCAGCACGGTTGGGGGCGCCTTCTATCTGAAGCAGTGGCGCTCCTACAACATCTCTATCTGGGACACTGCAGGTGAGGGCCAGCAGCATCTTTTCTTGGCATTTCCCCCTAATGCCCAGAATTTTCTGGGGAAAAAGACTGGAGAGGTCAGAGGGCCGCAGGGGACGGGGAGGAAGGGCTTACAACCCCCCGAAAGAAGCGTCCCCAGTGGCAGGGAGTCCCCAGCCACGAACAGTGTCCAGCCTTTGGAGGACAGGTGCCCCTATCCCGAGGTCAGACCACCAGTCCTTACACACGCGGCCACCTTTGGCCCCTCTGTTTTTCCACTCGTCCTCATTTGCTGGTTGGGAAAACTGTTTAATCAGTGGGTGCACCCTAGGAACTATCCAGGTGACACTTGAAAAGCACCTCGTGCTCCAGAGAGAAAATCTGCTGCTCATTTTTGTACTACAGAGGCTTTGGCTCTAGATTACTGTGGTTCTACCGCTCAGTCAGCTTATTGTAACCAGGAATGTCTCTCATCTCCCAGGCCACCTTGGTCTCCTCCCACACCTCCTGTATTTTCAGTTTTCAAAAGTACTCTAGTGAACATGATCTCATTTGATATCCACCATACCCTTGAGAGCTGGGCAAAGCTAGTATTATTTGCTATTCTTTACAAAAGAGGAAATGGAGGCAAAGAGCCCTGCTGAATTTAGTCAAGACAGTAGGAACTAGAACAAGTCTTCTTTCTCTTAGTCTAGAGCTTATTTGCATTTGCCAGTATATTTCTCCTGTACTTAATTTTGGTTTATATATGTTATGAGTTTAGAGTAATTTCCTGTAGAATCGTTTTTAAGATACATAACGAATAATTTTTGGTGCTTGGGTTATTTGTGCTTTTTTCAGAAATACAGCTTATTAGAGTCTCAATTTAAGCTTTCAGTTTGTTAACTCTTCAGAATAACACTGGCGATTAGTGTTACAATGGAATATATTTCCTTCCTCATGAAAAAGGGTAAGTTCCTGTAAGTAAATAGAGAAACTAGAAATAGTATGACACATTTTTCATGAGCATATTTGAAAGCCTGAAACTTTTAGGTCTGGTTTCCTTTATGTCAGCACTTTAAAAAGTGATATACCCAAAGGTCCTGCCCAGAATTTTTCAGTTGCCAAGTTGGATGCAACAGCCTGCTGAATAAACAAGATTATAACTAGTTCTCTTTTTAAAACTGAATTAATAAAGTTCACTGACATGAATCCACCCCTTTTCCCCCACTGCTTTCTTTGTTGCTATCTTTTTTGTTATTGTGGTTGATGTCCTGACACTTTTTTTTTTTTTTTTTTTTCAATCATCCTTTGCAAACAGTGTTCATCCAGGTGATAATGTGCCTTTCCCTGCTCTTTACTCTCCCTCCAACCTCTTCCCCAGGGTGCAGGGTAAGATTTCTCTTAGATCCTTTATTTATGCCAACTCTTTGTTGTTGCTGTCTTGTGCTACCAACTCCATTCTGCCTCATAGTGACCTCATGTGTTACAGAGTAGAACTGCTCCATAGGGTTTTCTTGGCTGTAATCTAAATGGAAGATCTCCGGGTCTTTTCTTCCACAGTGCTGCTGGGTGGGTTCAAACCAGCCTTTTGGTCTAAGTTGAGTGCAAACCCTTGACATCATGCGGTGACCTAACTAACTCCCTAACACTAAGCATTTGGTTATGGTAGAGTGTAAGCAAATCAAATCAAATACTTGTTGACTTTTTTGTGCAAGTAAAAGCTGCCCATTTGTTTGTTTTGTTAATTGGCTAGACTTTATTGGTGCATTTAGTTTACAAGAGGATAATACATTATTGGCATTGCGGGCCGGTGGGGGGGGGGCGGGGTTGCTGCCCAGACTGAGACCTCATGGAGCGGCCATCATAAGATACAGACTTTTACCACATCATAATGTTTCTGGAACAGGAGTGAACCTGCTGCCTTGTCGTTGTTATGTGCCATTGAGTCGGGCCTGACTCATAGCGACCCCTCCTTGGGTTTCCCAGGTAGTATCACTATGGAAGTAGATTGCCCAACCTTCCTTCCGAGGAGTGGCTGGTGGGTTTGAACCGCCAGCCTTCTGGTTAGCAGTCAAGTGCCTTAGGCACTACGCCACCAGAGCTCCTTGTTGTTGTTGTTGTTGTTGTTGTTATGTGCCGTGGAGTCGGCCCCGACTCATAGCGACCCCTCCTTGGGTTTCCGAGGCAGTATCACTACGGAAGTAGGATTGCCCAACCTTCCTTCCGAGGAGTGGCTGGTGGGTTTGAACCGCCAGCCTTCTGGTTAGCAGTCAAGTGCTTTAGCCACTATGCTACCAGAGCTCCTAAGCTCCTTAGAGGGTATGAAGTAGCAGTTTAATTGTGACTGGCTGTTTTTCTTTTTTGGCGCCAAGAACATAATGCAGCCAGAATCTTGATCACCAGTGAATTTTCTAATACTGCTGATGCGCTGTCCTAGATATCTTGTCGGGTTCCCAAAGGCAGCGACTCAGTTCCTGGTTGCCTAGGTGGCTGCATGCTTGTTCCTGGAATGAAAAGTGGGAACTCAATGAGTTTCTGATGAGTAATGGGGGCTGGTTAGGTGCCTTTCTCCATATTCTGTGCACACATGCTCAGGGCAACTGTGGTTCAGAGGAAACAGTGACACTGCTCAACCCTGTGCCTGGTTCCTCAATGGACTGTGGGGTTTGAATCACTAGGAGGGAATACAGTGATATGAATAGATACCTTTGCAAAAATCATTAGTGGAAACTCAAAACTTTAACTTTTAGGGGACACCACTTTGTTTTCTCCTTTTGCCCTGCTCTTAAATGTTCTGTCCATTTTGTAGACATTGTTGTTTAAGCTGTTTCAGTTCTAGTTTTCATAACCAAAGAGGAAAGATAAGGACCAAGTAGGAGGTTTTTTTTTTTCTTTTTTTTTTCCCTTGAGGTGAAATATATATAGTTGGCTCTCCATATCCGTGGGTTTCACATGTGTGGATCCAAAATATTTGAGGTGAAAAAAAAAAAAGCAATTAAGTGGTCAAAGCAATCCCTCAATGGCTAAAGGGCAGCACAAAGTGCTATTTACACAGCATTTACTGTGGTTTAGGTATTACAGGTAACCTAGAGATGATTTAAAGTGTATAGGAGGAACTCCGAATCATTTGGAGGAAAAGAAAAGGGGGGGGGCAGGTTTGCTGGTCTGATAGAGCCTGGTGGAACCACTGA